AAAAACTATTGAAAATAAAAAGACCGATGTGACGAACTAAATTTGGAGGTTTGCTTGGTTATGAAGGCTGTATCTCCTCCTCAAAGAAACTCATAATTTCTCTTGAAAAAAGGAAACTACAATAAGTCAAGTAAGAGCGTGGTCGGCTTTACTCAAAGCTAATAAAAGATATCGCCCTAAATCTATCATGAATCCATAGAGGGCACCTTTGTCCTTGATGCACTATCAAGGAAGATTCAGTTGTCATTGAACTTTCTTAAGAGAATCACATTAAGCACCATGAATACCAGATACGCATCACGCGTGAAGCGTGTTTCTCACATTGTGTTTCTCTGCACCTGAAAGGTCCAAAAATGTCACAATTTGCGGCTGCTAAATATATGAAAAAGTCAAAATCATTCGTACAAAAGTGAGTGCAGCGATATAATGTGGCAAAAAATGTCGATGATTTACCGGAACGTGGCACGATATGCAAAGTGGAAAAAAAAAGACGATAAAAAAAATAGTGAATCTGTTTTCGCGGAATCCTGACTTAACACTGCGTCAAGGACAAGCAAAATTGAAGCAGAAAGGCTTTAGATATATCGTATGAAACTATTTGAACCTATCTCAAGGCTAATAACATGAACTCGACGCTCTTACTTGATTTATTGTAATAAGGTTCCTTGTTTGGTCAAGGAAAGCTTATAAAACATGAAATGAGGAACAAGGAATTTTCATTTCTTAAGGAAGGAATACGGGTGTATATGTTCTAAGCCCTTATCAAGCAGGGCTAGTAAACTCCCATTTCAACACCCATATTTTCAGCGCCTTTACAAAACGTCTATGAAGCATCGAACTAAAAATCAGTATGGCTGCGACCATTTCGTTGCATTCGAATACATTCAACTGCATTTCCAAGATCGAAGCAAATTAAATGAGGTTAAAGCAGATGTTCTTAGGAAAAAATGATGTATGTGCGGAAAAATTTACGCGGTAGTAATTTGTATGTGAATATACAGTTATCCGACATATGTTTATTTTAATTTCTGTGTACAGAGGACTGATATTAACCAGAAATCAGTACAGTGGCACTGTAACTGGTGGATTACTATGTCGTCGTGACAGCACATGTTTAATTATATTGTTAAAAATGATGAGAGCGTGCTGTGTACAAGATTGTACATCAGATTGGAAAATGCCAAAGCAGTCGTTGCAAATGCAACGAAATAGTCATAGCCATATTGATTTTTAGTTCGATACTTCATAGACGTTTTGTAGAAGCGCTGAAATCACGGAAGAAGTAGACTTTAATCAGTAAGACCCTTTAATCAGAGACCGGCCATAAGGATTTCATCAAATTTCTTCGAGCGAGAAAGGAGTATAAGCCATCTTACTTCTCTACCAATAGCGGTGAGTATGCATGATGTATATACACCGCTATTGGTTAAAGAGTGACATAGTCTTGTGGCGACCGCCACAGAGGTCCAAGACGAGATTCGCTCGGTTTCGCGAAAATACCTCTTGCTTTAAATAACATGACCACCCAAACTGATTCCAGGGCGTCTAAGGCAGGTCCCCACTACATCGCCTTACTGACGAGTCTAGTAGTGTGAAACCGAAAAGCCACGGCCGACCAAAACAGCTTCGAGTCTGGCTTCCTTAGAGAGTTTCCTCCTTTACCGACATCCACTATATGTAGCAACACTATGTACAGGGTGCGGCGCCAAAATCCGGACAAATTTCAAATTGAAATTCCCTCCGTTCAATACCATTGGTAGATGTCGCGATTGGCAGTCAAATAGCTTGACGCATGCACTAAACCATCATAACCTCAAAACAGTCGCAATGTTGAAACCAAGTGCGGAGTACAACTGAAGAGCCGCGATTATCGAAAGTATTCGCGCCGGGCGCTCGGCGACAGAAATCATTCGGTTTTTCGGGTATCCGAGATCGACTGTGTATGATGTCTTCGCAAAGTATCATGAGTTGGAGAAGTCCAACGAAGGTTCTGCAACACCGGCTAGGAAATTCCACTCGAAGGAGGGCGTTTTTTTTAACAAAGGGGAAAATGTCACAAAAGAAGTTTATTTGCGTGTTCTGATAAATGTAGTGAAGCCGTGGATGGAAACTGTGTCGGCTGGAAAGCCATATGTTTTCCAGCAGGACGGTGCGCCCGCCCACACAAGTCATTTGGTGCAAAATTGGTTGTCGGACAACGTCGACATGTTTTGGTGGAAAGAATTCTGGCCTCCCAACAGCCCAGATTTGAATCCTTTGGACTTCTACGTATGGGGCGTGGTTGAAAGGGTCACGAACAAGTCCACACATCCAAACGTCGCATCATTGAGAGCCGCTATTGAAGCGGCATTCACCGATATGGACCGTGACGCATTAAAGCGTACCTGCGCACGCTTCAGACCGAGAATGGAGGCGGTCATTCAAGCAAGCGGGGGATATATTGAGTGAATATGTTCTTTATGGCCTTACAAACAATGGAGCTAAACAAATTTTGTAAATCTTTTCATTGTAGCAATAAAACATGTTTAGAAAAATATATATAATTTGTCCGGATTTTGGCGCCGCACCCTGTATAGCTACAGTCTATATTCCTTTTTCGCTCGAAGAAATTTCATGAAATTCTTACGGTCAGTCTCTGATTAAAGAATCTCTAAGGAAAAATAAAGTCACTAGATAACAAAATATCGCAATGGAAAAATTCATTGAATTAGCATTTGGTCAAAATGGCGTCGAATAGTTCAGACAGTACATTTTATGTAACTTCTTACATATTAAGTGCAATCGTAATTTGATTCTATTACAATTTTATATGCGTTTGTGACTTTGAATAAATTTAGAACTGATGATGTATGAATTTAGAACTTTAGAAAACGTTGAAAATGCCTGGTTGCTGTATTGCGAATTGCAAAAACCATAGCGAAAGAGGCTTTTGTTTATTTCACGTGCCAACAGGCAATAGACGTGATGAATGACTTCAATTAATTGGCAAAGAAAATTGTTGGAAAGGGCTATAAAGTATAATTGTCTTTGAGATATAATTTTTTATCTGTGAGATTTTATTTTCCTTTATAATATAATACAGTCATACATAAGTTTTGAATAATTATGCGTCATGGAGTCAAAATGGCAGCAGTTCATGATACTTTGTTATCTAGTGACTTTAGGATAAAGAAAATACAATGGAAATTTATTGGCCCTGCTTATCAAGTTCCGATTAATTTAACCGCAATCTACTAATCCTTTGCAGAATTCCAACTGAAACAGATGTAGAAGAAAAATGCAAAGAGAGAAAGTATGAATGTAATGCCTAATTTATGCTTCGGTTTTAATCCTAAAATCCTAAAACTTAGCCAATGGAATAATAATTTCATTTAGGACCAATTAGAACTAGCAATCCTATTGGCTAAATTTTAGGATTAAGACTGAAATATAAATCAAGCATAAATGTAAATGTATTAACTTTTCAGTTCGCATTTTTTCTTTTCCGACATCAGTTTCAGTTGGAATCCTGCAAAGTTACTAGACTGGTTAATAGCAAATCGGCTTATGTGCACTGTCTTAAGGTGCATATACATGCAGCGAAATAGCGTAACGCGAAATAAGAACGGAATCAATCATAAATGTTCCGTATTTTTCAACAATTTTTAGCAGAATACCTTTTACGCATGCAGCTGCGTAATATACGCACACATCTATGTGTTAATATGCATGTGCACGAGCTATGCATACACATGTCTATTAATTATTTATGTAAGTCCTATCCAATTTGAGCTCTGGAGCCAAAACGCAAAACCATTACGTAAAAAAATTTAGCGTAAGTAAAATTTTAGAAGTATATAATATTTATGAAGTGTTGATAAGCGCTATTTAGATGCGTATCAACACTTTTCAGTTCCCGAAATCTTATACACATTGAATTTTTTTGCATCGATGGCTTTCCGTTTCAGAACTCAAATTGGAAGGTCTACGTGATATTAAGTTATCTATAGGACAATTAGAGACTCAAAAAGAAAGAGAAAACTTTGTTTCGAACAGAGAAATATTAAACTACCGAGAGAAAGATGTATCTCTTTCCGTAGTCGAGAACAGAATACATATATTCTGTCATTTTTGTTGCGTTGAAACCCCCAATACCCATACAGTAATAAGCGCTTTGCGGATTTTGCGCAACCAATCACAAGTCATTATTTTATTAGAATTAAAATCACAAAACTAATTTTATAAGATTTTAACGTTGTTAATCAATATTTTCAATAAGAAATGCATTTAATTTAGTATTTAAGTACCTGATGATACATAAAAACAATATTTAAAAGATTATGTACGAATTTGTATGTACGGATACACTCATTCCTCTCCATGGGGATGAAGAAATTCAAAGCTGCGTAACGAAAACTGCGGAACGTTTGTGATTGATTCTGCTCTCGTTCCACATACTATTCCAATGCATGAGTTTGCATCTTCAGTGCGTTAAGGCTAGAGTCCTATGAGTATTTATTGCGTATTACGTAACCAATTAAAAGCTATCCATTGTTATGGTTTCGTGTTTTACTGATTATGCGATATGCCTCCGCCACACCAGCGCGATATTTGTCGCGTGCGACACGCAATATTCAATGTGTGTACAGTGTTATCGATATTCTCATTCTTAAAGGTATACTGTTGGATGTTGCGTGTCGCGCGCGACTACTATCGCACTGGTGTGTCGGAGCCAATACACGATACGCAGCATAAATATGCCTCATGGAACTTCACCTTAAGATTTTATCATATTTGGCAAATAAAAACTGAGCTAGTGTAGTGGTGAATTTATATTCGGATTAAAGCCCTGTGCACAATAGAAGGAATAAGGAACTAGGAATAAAAAATAAACGATTCTAACCTATCAGAAATTGGATACATCGGAATATACGATTTCTGATAGATTGAAATTATTTATTCTTTATTCCTAATTCCTTCTATTGTGCGCAGGGCTTAACCGAATGAACTGAACGAGTTCAAGGAATATTGTACTAACGTTTCTGACAGTGCAATTTAGCATAGGACTAAAGTAGTTCTACACTCGCACCATGTCAGGGCAGCACTAGAGCGGAGTCAGTGCATGTGCCGAATTCGCTATAAGTTAACTGGAGCTTAGTAAAAATTGCCCCATGTATAGAAAAGTATATGGATGCTAGATCTGTTTCTTATATGTATATGCATGCATATGCATCCCTATGTGTTAATCGGAGTTAGTGTCGTTGATGAAAGAGACTTTTAGACGAGATTGCACATGGATTGACAAGTTTCACGTAGTGAAACTTTTTGCAGTTCTAAGCCAGTTTGTAAGGATAAAGGGAGGATTTTATCTTCGCGCAAGTATTAATTATTTAGGTAACGATCAGAATATCTTTCATCGACTATATTTTATCAATTCTCTCGAGGATTCACTAACCTTCAAGTTAACATATTCTTATTTTTTAATGACTATATTTCAAAATATCCCCTTTGAGGAAAATTTTGCTCAATACAATATTGCATATTACGTGTACTTATATATTTTGAAGAAAATTTTCTACAGACAGGACGTTTTGGAATGAAGCTTAACCTTTTGTGAACGCATTTTCGCAAATAGTCACCCAAACCTTTTTATCGCCAGGCGACTCCATCCACAAAAGGTTAAATAAATGTTGAAAATTTCACAAAATTGTTGACGATATATTTTTCAAATATTTCTTGTATTTTTTATATTACTACCAGGATGTTATTTTTAATGTCATCGCATTGTACAATCTTGCATGCTTTTAGCAAAACATGGTACTATCGTGTCGATTTTACAAAGAGAAGTATCCAGAAGTGGAGGATGTGGTGATGGTAAATGTACGCAGTATAGCTGAGATGGGTGCATACGTTCATCTATTGGAGTACAACAATATTGAAGGCATGATCTTGCTCTCTGAGCTCTCTAGAAGACGTATTAGATCTATCAACAAACTTATCCGAGTAGGCAAAACTGAACCAGTTGTTGTTATTCGTGTAGATAAGGAAAAAGGTAACTGAAGATATTTTATTGGTTCAAATAAAAAATCAACAAAAAAACTATATTGGATAAATGAGAATCAAGTGCAGTTAGTAGAAAAATTAAATTATTTACATAAGTTTTCAAGTTTATATAATTCTCTTATTTGTAATGAAATTATTAATCATGGGTTCTAGGTTATATCGATCTGAGTAAGCGTCGTGTGTCTGCTGAGGATGTGGAAAAATGCACAGAGAGATATGCTAAGGCTAAAGCTGTTAATTCAATTTTAAGACACGTGGCAGAGCTGTTGCACTATGATAATGATGACCAGCTTGAGGAACTCTATCAGAAAACAGCATGGTACTTTGAAGAAAAATATAAGAAACAGAAGGCATCTGCTTATGATTTTTTCAAACAATCAGTATTGTAAGCAAAATCTAACTGCATTAATAACTGCAATAAGAATTAAATTAGATCGTTATATGAATAAATTAATTAAAGAAGGGTCAAATACAATAGAGGCTAGTTCTTGGTGACCAATAATATTATTTATATATAAATTTTAAATATATCTCTTTGTTATATAAACTGTATGTCAATACTAATTAGCAGTAATATATATAACGAGGATATATTTAAAATTTACTTTTTAAATTAGATACCAAAATCTAGCTTCGACCCTTTTTTACTTAGCCCTTCTTTATTTATTTGAAAAAAATATATTTAAATGTATCTTTGGAGATATAATTGTGAATATAAACACTTTTAGGGATCCCTCCATTTTAGCAGAATGTGGTTTGGACGAACATACGAAGGAAGTGTTGCTAAATAATATCAAGCGAAAACTTACTTCGCAAGCGGTTAAAATTAGAGCAGACGTAGAAGTGGCTTGTTATGGTTATGAAGGCATTGATGCTGTTAAGACTGCATTAAAAACAGGCTTAGCTCTTTCCACTGATGAACTTCCTATAAAAATTAACTTAATTGCTCCTCCATTATATGGTATATGTATTTATATTATTTTTCAAATCAATCATGTATTACAAATCTGTTGATGTTATATCTTATATGGTGATCTTCAGTCATGACGACATCTACTCCAGAAAAACAGGATGGTTTAAAGGCATTAAGTGATGCAATCGAAGTCATACAGAATAAAATAATGTCACTTGGAGGTGTATTCAACGTACAAATGGCAGTAAGTTTCATGCATAAATAATGTTTATCTAATATTTTGCATATTATAATAAAGAAATTATTCTGTTTTTTCTTCTACAATATTAGCCAAAAGTCGTTACTGCGACAGACGAGGCAGAATTAGCGCGACAGATGGAACGAGCGGAACTCGAAAATGCGGAGGTTGATGGTGATGATGAAGAAGAGGTAGAAGGATTGGAAGGTGATTTTAGTGGTGGTGAAGGAGCTGAACAAAACAGCAAAGATATTGAACAGAATGGCAAAA